AACCTGTTTGGGGGCCCATAGAATTGGACCCCCTGGTCCAATCTTCATGAAACTTGGTGGGTATGTAGGGGAGAGGTTCTAGTAACCACCCTCCAAGTTTGTAAGCACCAAGACAGAGTATCACTTGCCCCAGACTGAGAGTTCCTACCATGTGGCTAATAGCCACTGATGGACCTCTGCTCCATATGTTTATCTTGGCGCAGTTGGAAAAATGTCCACTGTACAACATTGGTGATCTGGGCCTCCATAGACAGAGCGGGGTCCAAGATCACCCCCAGGCTCCTGACAGTAGGTGCCGGTGTCAGAGGCACCCCATCAAGGGCTGGGAGTTGATTCCCCAATGTGCGGCTGTCAAACCCCCTCCCCCCCAGCCCCCCGCAAAGTTCCAAGAGGATTTTTGCCATTGACTTCAATGGCCCCATTGGTTATAATGGACCCGAATTTTTCGGGAATTTTTTTCGGGATTCGGACAAGCTCATAAATTGCTAATTCGGGATCCCAAAAGCCGAAAAAAGCCGAAAATCGTTATTTTCGGCTTTTTTTTCGGTTCGGGATCCCGAAATGCACATCCCTAGTTCCCCTCCCTGGGTAGGCTTGAGGTGGGGGGGGGAGCAGAGAAAGAGAGCAACAAATGACAAATGCATTCTCAAAGCCCTCCCCCCTGAGAGCTTGGAGAAGGCATTTGTCTCTTTAAATCCCTTTTCCAAGCCAAGCCAGCTGGCATGGGGGGCCTTGGAAGGATGCATTTAAAAGTTAAAGATGCTTTCTTTCCACCTCTCCCTCCCCCCCCTTCTATTTCCTTCCTTTCTTCCCCTTCCCTCCCCCATTCATTTGCTTTCTTTCTCTTTCTTTCTACCTTTCATTCTTTCTTTCCACCTCTCTCTCTTTCTCTCTCTCTTAGACAAATAAATATCATTAGCAAACAAATGAATATCATTGGACAAATAAATATCATTATCAATACCTGTTTTTACCCCTTTTGTTTTTACTTAATGTTAATAAAAGCACATTTGCATATTTTTCAATAAAAACGTGTGCAATATTTGTTCATGTCTTGTGGCTCTCAAACATCTGACGTTTATTCTATGTGGCTCTTACATTAAGCAAGTTTGGCCACCCCTGCTGTAAAGGAAGCAATCAAACATTTGTTTCAAACATCCCTCCCTTTGTTAAATGCATAAAGACATAATTAATAAACCCACCACTAAACATTCCACAAGGGCATGAAAGAAAATGTTTGAGGAGCTGATTAGCCTACCTCTTGAATGTGTGAAACAATCGCAGCCTGAGTGTCAATATCTAACTGCTTTATCCTTTCAATGAATTCTTCTTTTCTTTCACACTATGAGCAACAAGAAAAAAATGATCACCACAACTATAATTGAAGCATTTCCTCAAATTAAAGAATCCCAACCTAAAATTTTACTTCATGAATGTTACTTCAAAAATAACTACTGAGCATTAGTTAAGCAAGTTTGGCCACCCCTGCTGTAAAGGAAGCAATCAAACATTTGTTTCAAACATCCCTCCCTTTGTAAATGACCTAGAAGTCCCATGTCTCATCCTTAAGCGGCAGGAACTGGTATGGTAGACAGGCACAGGGTTTGAAAACTTCTCAGTTACAATGTTTCTGCATGGCCTTCTTCAAGTCATTCATTCTTTCTAGATGTTATGAATGAAAAACTACTGATTTTTAATGGAACATAAGTCTCAGTGGACAATTTCAATCCACCTCCCTGTAGAAAAGCAACAGGTACCCCCTCATCTCTCTGAGATGAGCCAACCCGAACCAGAGACTTCCACTAATGGAACTGCAGTTTATTACATGGGTTTCATCACCCAAGCTTTTTCCATGCCTCTGTCCACACAGAAAACAAAGCTGCACTTACCTGTAACTATTGTTCATCGAGTATCTTCTGTGCAGGCACACATGGGGACTGCACATGAGCAGGCCTCCCGTCAGTGTGCCGGAGCCAGAAACTTGTTCCCGCCCAGGGACTACGTGCTCCTGCACAGCAGTGCCCCCTACCCTCAGTATCTCTAGTGCTGTCAAAGCCAGGGCATGCAGTGGAGCACAAGGCTGGGTATGTGTGCCTGCACAGAAGATACTCAATGAACAATAGTTACAGGTAAGTGCAACTTTGTTTTCATCATCAATCTTCTGTGCAGTCCCACATGGGGATTCTAGCAAGCTACTCACCAGGTGGTGGAGCATGC